TTCGAATCCGACCGGATCGAAGGAATTTTTTCTGAGTGTTCGATCTTTGTATTAATAATTATAACAACCACTAGTTTGTTATAATTATTAAGTATACAGTAATTTCACAAAAAATAATTGAATATCAATTCAATAAAAATTTAATTAACAATTACTGCACAGTTTCGAGATTAAGGCAGTGTAGTTATGTCACCTATATTTAGTTATATGCACTTATAATAGTGTACAGCATGACAGCTAGCAATATGCTATTCCTAAATCAATGTTAACCTCGAATAGACATAACAATACTTGGTCCTGGGCAAACATGTACCCTAGCCAGGGGATATTAACGCACACACTCAACATAGCCCCGCACTAGGGAAACCCTGTGTCGCGGGTGCCATGGACACACACATAGACAACCACAAATTACACCCAAACTCACGAGAGAAATAAATGTAGGCCATACACATATTTCTCCCGGCCTGGGAATCGAACCCAAGACCTCTGCATGGCAGTCCGGCGTGGTAACCGTTCGGCCACGGAGGCAGTTATATATATTAAGACAATTGAAGATAAGAATGACACTGTTTTGTTGCTTTTTCCTCCAGTTTACAATTGATGGTGATCACAATAGATCAGTTGCTGGGTAAAAATGGCTTTTGAAAATAACAGAGTGCCCGCTAAACAAAGTTTGTCTGTACTTACATTTCTGGTAGAAGGCAATGAGTGCCTTAGAAATGGCTTGTCTGATAGCATACACCTGTGCAACATGACCACCTCCCTTCACTGTCACTCTAATGTCAACTCCGGAGAACTTTTCCTGAAAACAAGTAAACTGTGTAAACAACAAAAAAGATGAAAAAAATTTATTGTATGAATGTTAATATCAGGAATAGTTTTACTTCACATCGTAAGATGCTCAGGTTCGGAATAAGATTGTAATCATCATTATATTGTGCAATTAAATTACACACTTAATCGACTTGAGTATAGAAGAAGTTTTCTTATAGATAAACTAGTGTAATAAATTTGTGCATTACACAGTGCTAATTTATGTAAAAACATTGACTCACAAAGTTTGTGAGTTACGACCACAATGTGCAACAAGTCAACAACTGGCAAGCATTCTAAACTAAATACACAAAAGACTAATTTGGACAACACAAACACGAGCATAGTGAAAATGTGAAAAAAACATGCATTAGTAGGTAATAGTTAATAAAGCCAGAAATTAGTACTAAACAAATAAAAACATGACACAAATTTATCCAATATATCAACTACAGAACAATAAGCAAACAAAAAAATTATCATAATTTTGTTTGACTATTTCAACTGACATTGTTTAATGTATTTTGTTATACATGTGATAGATTGAATTGTTTAATTATTACAAATACAAGATATTTGAAACATTAAACATTAGAATTTCTACACAATTCCATGCAACATAAATATGTTCATACAGAACTGAAAAATGATACCAATACAAACTGTAGCACATAATATATCTATACGAGACATACCTTGCCAAGTAGTAGGATGGGCTCCTGGAGTTTGTACTGCAGCAGACGGGGCTCGACGAGGTCGAGAGGGCGCCCGTTAACACTGAGCACGCCATGACCGCGTTTGCAGTATGCTACAGCAGTAGCAGTTTTCTTAAATAACAAAAATTTGAATTATTTGAAACCATAATACCTAGGATTAAATGAATATTCCACTGGATACTCTAATAAAGAAAAGGTTACGCAAATGCAACAATAACCGCGCAAAATTTTGATTGGTTATATTAGGATTGTAATCAAAGCAATAACGTAAATAGCACTCAGTGTAAACTGTGAAATGTAGTTCCCGATCAGACCAACACAGAAATAGTTCCGATATGGCTGGGAAAGTCGGAAACATTGATATCCTTTCCGTTTGTAACTGTTTCAATCCTATAGGTTATAAACAGTAAGGCTGGAAAGGCCAAGCAAATTCACATGATTTTAAACCCGTTAACAACTATTTATCTCTCCAAGACGTATTAGAGGTCCACATTGCACATATTAACGTATTCTTGACTTTCTTTATTTTTTAGTCGGCACAAACACGTGGATCCGAGAGCAACCCTCACCTTGCGTCCGAAAACTTGGACGGCCTGGATAGGTTCGCGTCTTTGCTGAAAACAACAAAAATAGTACAATGTAATATTAATAACAGAATGTACAATAATTACGCAATGAAAAAGAAAATAATTGGTAAAAATTAAAACACACCTCCTGCGGGGCAGCCATTTTGACAGAAAAAGACTGGGTGAACGAACAAATTTACCAGAGACAAGAAAGTGTTGAATGATTTGTTATTTTACTATGGTTCTTACTAGCGCCATCCAATGTCGAGTAGTCATACTAAAATTGCATTGCCATCTATTGTGTACGCAAGGAACTACATCAAGACCACAACTTTCTATATGTAATAGTACTTATTTTAGTCAATAGATGAAATATTCACAAAGTGACGCTCTAACATTCATCACCTCTTCACTACGTCCAATGTTTTGTAAATTTGTATTCGTCGAACGTAAACGCCGTAGTGGAGTCGTGTGGAATGTGCCACGGTAGCGCACCGATTACAATGAGCCGTGAAAAAGCCGACATTCCCGCGCGTGTGCTGTAGAACTTGAACAAAACAGTGTGAAAAAGTTCTTTACAAAGAGAAATTGTGCATTATTTTATGTAATGAACATAGTTTTGTGACAGGAACGATTTTATCTGGATTTCAATATAGTCCTGCGTGTTTAAATATTTGTTTGAAATTGAAGGTAAGTTCCTAAACTTTTTATTATGTACCTACTTGTTAGTAGGCAATACCATTAAATAAATATATTTTGGAGAAAATATGTTATTTACAGCTTTATTTAATATCCGCCACTTTGAAAAGTAAATTATAATGAAACATGTAATGTTCCTCAGCTATTTATTATTTGAACTATGTAGAAGCTTGCCTTAACCTTATAAAAAAAGGTATTGAGTGCCTAAAACTTCAAAGATATGTATGGACTCCGCGTGACATGTATAAATTACAAACGATTTTTTTTCTGTTTTTTTTTTACTTTTAAACTAATTACACGGGTGCGTCATAAAAAACGTATGATGATTCATGCCGCAAAGGAATGTCGTCAAATACTTGCCGTACAGTATGCTTGCTACAAAAGAGGTAAATAGGTAAAATATTGCTCTGTGTTCACTTAATAAGTATGCGGTATTTCCTATTTTATTGTGGTCGTAAACCATATTCAATTTACGCATGAAGAAATCCTGATTCAAGTTCGGCATTGACAATTTTGTGCATATAGGTACATATAGTGATAATGCAATGCCCGGTTTAGGCCTTAAAATTTAATAAGAAAAACGTTTTGTCATAAATTCATAATAACTACAGAATTAATGTCCTAGTGTTGTAGTTCCCTCGCGGACCCAGTGCGGATTCGGAACTTCATTGTTTTGCCGATGTAGATGTAGGTTTCTTCACGATGTTTCCTTCACCGAAAAGTTCGTGGTAGATTTGAAAGTAATTCTCGTACATAAATTCCGAAAAAGGTTAAAAAACTACCTCTTGTTCTTTTTTCAAGTAAAAAGTTTAAACTTTAAAGTATAAACAATTTCGCAATGAATTATAAAAATATATTATTTCGCATATAAACCAAATATATAAACCAAATGCTGTCGTACGTACCTCAAAAATGATGAAATTGAGAAAACACAACTTGAAAACTCAATAATATTACTGAACCAATAAATTTATATTCTCATCTAATAGTGTATATGTATAATTAAATAATCCCATTAATCGCAATTAAATTCATTAAGTATTTAATTTTGCATCCATTAATTGTCCCACACTTCTAGGCGCACAGTGAATTATTGTGTGTTATTATTATATTATACATAGTTAACGTTATGTAGGTACATCTAGATGCACTAAGTTTCGTACAAGTATGTACTTAATATAAACATCGAACTCACGACCTCGCAATTACGAGACATGCTCTGTTCTACACAGTCACGACGACGACGTGTGAACTTCTCCAGACACGGTTCAAACAGGTTTGCCAAATTGAAGAAAAATCCATGAAGATGAAAAACTCTTATTCTTACTTATAGTTAGTTATAGAATTCGCACTTGAAACCAAGTGCTATCGAAGCTCAAAAATTGGTGGTATTGAGAAAACACGTGGTTGTAAATGGCCCTATTTTTAAATTTGAAACACAGCACTGCTGCCTTACGGTGGAAATAGATAGGACACCACTGATTAAATAGCGAAATAGCTTTTATAATTTCTATTAAAGTGACATAAATCGAAAAGTGTTTTTTTGTACAATTAACAAATTAGATTTTTTTTATTACGTACTTGGCACCAGCCATATAAACATTGTGCCACCTATTTGGTGCCCAATGAGACATTTACATTTTATTTTGTACTTAAATAAATGTACATATGGGATATGAATGAAATGAAAATTTTTCCGGATTTAAATCGCGTATATTTGTTTTTTCAAACAAACCGACGTTTCGGGCCCTTTACAGGTCCTTTACGGTTGACGTCAGTCAACCGTGACCATTTGACTACTGTGATGCAAACTCGCATCCTAAAATTCTTCGGTCATGTCTCAAGACGGAATTTTGACTCCATAGAGCGTCTTGTTGTACAAGGCACAGTGGAGAGCACTAGACTGTGCGAAAGGTCACCCATTCGATGGACCGATCAAATAAAATCTGCAGTGGGCGGTCCTTTACATGAGTGCACGAGGGAATCCACCAACGAGAGAGATCGTGAGGCAAGCCACATCAGCCGTTAACAAACGTACTCCGTGATGACCACGACCACTCTGTCAAGAGTGATACGAAAGAGAAGGAATGCAATAGTGCTAATTTTATTTCCTTAAGGTCGATTGAATTATATCAACTGGCCTTAACTTAAATCATATAACGTTAATTAAAAAACGTGATATAGTTTAAATAACTGACGTTTTTAAGCACATGTACCATAAAATATCATATTTATAACAAGTTTAGAAAGTTCAAAGATCATACGGACACGTTAATTTGATGGTATCACAATTATGTAACTAACAACGATACTTTGACAGGCCCGTATTTAGTCTAAAGGTGGCCCGCAATGTTGCATTAAAATGTATCATATTGAGGCAGATGTAAAAAAGGTCTTACTGCGAATAATTCTGACCTTCTTATCATAACTAACGTAATATATATTTTAACAAAATTTAAGAGTCCTAGAGGGGCGACAGGGGCCCCGGAAGCAAATGGGGGGCGTTGATGCTGTCTAGGGGATGCTACCGCATTTGAAAAAGAAAACCCGAATTATCTACATAAACTGCACTATTCTTTTTTCTTCTTATTCTTTTGTGTTAAGTTAATGTAAAAAAGTACGTGTTTTCCATTATTTTTTGTAGTGGTGGTCGTTGAAAATTTTTTTATCGTGTTTGGTGAGCCAAAAAGATGGGGAACCTATGGATTAGACTGATTGGTCACTTCTCGGTTGGGCTGGGTAGATTTTCATACCTGAGGCCCCGTTTGGTAACGTGCCGTAAACTGGTCCTATATAATGATAGTCTTACACGAGATTACATTCAACGGTGTGCCAAGAAAGTTGAACAATTAAAAAAGCATCAAATATCGAACTGGCATTAATTAAATACAGTCGTTAAATATCATTTAAATGCTGTCAACGGCTTTAACTTTCATCTTAACGAGCTATTTGTGACGAGATTTGATTAATTTCACCTTTAGCTTATATATGTATATATAACATAATATTTAGGAGATATTATATTATATGAGTATCAGAAAAACAGTTATAGTATTACCAATTCTCTGTAAGAGGCTAAAAAAAATTTACATATATAATATCGCTTTAGACATTTTCAAAAGGAATCGATCTGATTTTATCAAGTAGCTAAAATTGGAACAGTAGCAATGAATTACAAATTTCGTATGGAGTAAAAAAAAAAAAAAAATGGAGTACCCCGGGTAATATTTTGGGTCCAACATTATCCGACATTACAAGATACTGTACTGACGAAACCTTTTAATTCTTAAGTTGCGCTAGCGAAATTTAATATAGATAAGTAGCATAAACTCGCGGCTTAGTCCACACGTCCATTTCGCTTTGTTGCCGTCTAATATAAAGCCGAATTAAAAGCAAAATCCCTCCGTCTTTGTTAAAATGGGACGTTTGCACCAAAGGACAATTGAGCACAGCCAACACGGAGTCGACGTAAGTAGTCTGCACCTGACGGCAAGCCATCAACGAACCTGCATGTCGGACCACCGTTGTTTGACCGACTGTGAGTAGTTACGACGTAAGGCTTCCTGTTAATAGGCGCCTAATCCATTTAAGACTTAACTGGATCTCGCCTCACTGCAAAGTATTGGTTGAAGACCAACCGTTAAAAGAAAAGTGGTAAATGGACACATATACGATCATATAATTAAGAATTACGGGACCGAATGAAGGAGCATCGTTGTGTTATAAATCTTAGACTCTAATATTGCCATTCATTTCGAGTTCGTAGGTTTTCGCGATTGTTACAAATAGGAAATGAAACTATTTTTCCGGATTTAAATCGCGTATATTTGTTTTTTCAAACACATTGGAATGTTTTCTTTGTAAAATTAAAAATAAGGTATTTAATTAATAACTATTGTTACTATAGTGAAAAAATAGGGTGGTTTGCATCAATATTAGACGTAACTGGTTCAAAGCTGTACCACCTCAGTCAACCGTGACCATGGGACCTGTAAAGGGCCCGAAACGTCGGTTTGTTTGAAAAAACAAATATACGCGATTTAAATCCGGAAAAATAGTTTCATTTCCTATTGCAATTCATGTTTTTACATTTTGATTAGGTAGTTGGTCCTATCGATGTAGGTAGTTTGTAGCTATCTATAGAATTGAATATATTTAATGTTTTTTTTTTTTTTTTTTTTTTAAATAATAATAACGCAGACACTCAACATAGCCCCGCACTAGGGAAACCCTGTGTCGCGGGTGCCATGGACACACACATAGACAACCACAAATTACACCCAAACTCACGAGAGAAATAAATGTAGGCCATATAAATATTTCTCCCGGCCCGGGAATCGAACCCGGGGACCTCTGCGTGGCAGTCCGGTATGGTAACCGTTCGGCCACGGAGGCAGTTTAATGTACTACTAACATCCACTGGGTCCGTAACGTACTTAAAATGATTGTAACATCTACCTACTTCGAATAAATTTAATCCATTTATTTCGACTAACAATAGACTCAAATGTGTTAGAAGATCCAAGATAGGTAGATAGAAAATTCTTTATTGTTAACACCACATACATAGAGATATTACAGGACAAAAATTAAACACATTAGCAGGGTAACAATTGGTGGTCTTATCGCATACAGCGATTTCTTCCAGGCAACCTTAGGATGGAGAGAGACAAACATGAATTGTTGTACAATGAAAAACACTTTATTGTACAACACAAACAAATTACAAATTTTTACATATATTTTGTATTTTAAACATTAATATATTTACACTTTAATAATAACGATTGCGCTTGTCTAGTCGTAACTGGGAGAGAATTCCAGAGACGAAGAGCGTGCACAGAGAAAGAAGAATCGTAAAACGAAGTGGAGTGCGATGGCATCTTGAGACTAAGATTTTCTGAAGACCGAGATGTGAACTCGTATTTTATTATTTTTTATTTATGATACAAAGTTGTACACGTGCAATCTGTGGAGCAATTACACTAAAA